AAGTAATAAATTTTAAATAATAAAAATAATTAACAAAAAGCACTAAAACAAAATGAGACAAAATCAAAATATAATCAAAGTTTGAAATTGAAAAAAAAAGAAGAAATTTTTTAAAAATGACAAATTAATGTAGTAGATTTAAAATAACATAAAAAAACGACAAACAATTATCTGAAAAACACTTTTAATCTAAAAAATATATTTCATACAATTTATATATATTAAACATGCCATTATAATTTACGAATTACCTAAATCTATTTTTCAAAAAAAAAAATTCATGTTCCAAAAATTTATTCCAAAATTCATAGATATAGAAAAATAAATAAAAATTGTTTGTAAATATAGCTTTAAGTTAATTAGAAGACAATTTAAAAAAAATGATAAATTAAAGTGCTAAATTTTAAATAATAAAAATAACTAACAAAAAACACTAAACACAACATGAGACCAAATCATAATAAAATCAAAGTTTGAAACTCGAAAAGAAAACGAGTTTAAAAAAATGACAAATTAATATAGTAAATTTAAAATAATATAAACAATCGAAAAAAATATTTGAAATACATTTTTATTCTAAAATGTATTTCAGAAAAAATTATATATATATATATATATATCATGTTACTATAATTTAAAAATTATATAAATTTATTTTTCAAAAGAAAAAATAATTATGTTAGAAAAATTTATTTCGGAATCCATACATGTAGAAAAATAAATCAAAACCATCAATACATATAATTTTAAATTAATTAGATGAGAATTTTAAAAAAGGACAAATTAAATTAGTATATTTTAAACAATAAAAATGATCAACAAAAAACACTAAAATAAAATGAAAACAAATCACAATATAATCAAAGTTTGAAATTGCAAAAAAGAAAAGAAAAAAAAATAACAATTAATGTAGTAGATTTTAAATAACATAAAAAAACCGAGAAAAAATTATTTGAAAAATACTTTTAATCTAAAAATATATTTCAGATAAATTATATATATTAAGCATGCCAGTGTAATTTAAAAATTATGTAAACCTATTTTATTTTATTTTTTTTAAAATAGTAATGATGGTCCAAAAATTTATTCTAAAATCCATCGATATAAGAAAATAAATCAAAACTATCAGCAAATATAATTTTAAATTAATTAAATGAGAATTTCAAAATGAATGACAAATTAAAAGAAAAAAATTTAAATAATAAAAACAATTAACAAAAAATACTAAAACAAAATGAGACAAAATCACAATATAATCAACGTTTGAAATTGAGAAAAAAATTAAAAAAAAAATTAATGTAGTAAATTTAAAATAATATAAAAAATCAAGAAATAATTATTTGAAATACAGTTTTAATCTAAAAAAGTATTTCAGACAAATTATACATATTAGTCATGCTACTATAATTGAAAAATTATCTAAATCTATTTTTTAAAAGAAAAAATAATCATGTTTTAAAAATTTATTTCAAAATCCACACATATAGAAAAATAAATCAAAACCCTCAGTAAATATAATTTTAAATTAATTTGATGAGAATTAAAAAAAATAAAAATTAAATTTGTAAATTTTAAATAACATAAAAAAGCAGAGAGAAAATTATTTAAAAAACGCTTTTAATCTAAAAATATAATTCAGTTATATATATATATATATATATATATATATATATATATATATATATATATATATATATATATATATATATATATATATATATATATATCATGCCACTATAATTTAAAAATTATCTAAATCTATTTTTCAAAAATAATAATAATTATGTCCTAAAAATTAATTAAAGGAAAATTAAAAAAATGACAAATTAAAGTATTAAATTTTAAATAGTAAAAATAATTAACAAAAAAAGCTAAAACAAAATGAGACCAAATCACAATATAATTAAAGTTTGAACTTGAAGAAAAAAGGGAATTTAAAAAAAAAGATAAATTAATGTAGTAAGTTTAAAATAATATAAAAAATTGAGAAACTTTTATTTGAAATACACTTTTAATCTAAAAATGTTTTTTAGAAAAATTATATATATTAATCATGTCACTATAATTTAAAAATTATCTAAATCTATTTTTTTAAAAAAATATAATGTTCTAAACACTTATTCCAAAATCCATACATATAGAAAAATATATAAAAATTATCAGTAAATATAATTTTCAATTAACCGTATCAAAATTTAAAAAAAAAGAGACAAATTAAACTAGTAAATTTTAAATAATAAAAATAATTAACAAAAAGAACTAAAATAAAATGGGACAAAATCACCATATAATCAAAGTTTGAAATTGAAAAAAAGCGAGAGAATTTTAAAAAAATGACAAATTAATATAGTAGATTTTAAATAACATTAAAAAAACGAGAAACAATTATCCGAAAAACACTTTTAATCTAAAAAATATATTTCATATAATTTATATATATTAATCATGCCATTATAATTTACGAATTACCTAAATCTATTTTTCAAAAAAAAAAAAATCGCGTTCTAAAAATTTATTCCAAAATCCATAGATATAGAAAAATAAATCAAAATTGTCGGTAAATATAGTTTTAAATTAATTAGAAGATAATTTTAAAAATGATAAATTAAAGTGATAAATTTTAAATAATAAAAATAATTAACAAAAAACACTAAAACAAAGTGAGACCAAATCATAATATAAATAAAGTTTGAAATTGAAAAAAAAAAGAGTTTAAAAAATGAAAAATTAATACAGTAAATTTAAAATAATATAAAAAATAAAAAAATTATTTGAAATACAGTTTTAATCTAAAAATGTATTTCAAAAAAATTATATATATATATATATATCATGTTACTATAATTTAAAAATTATCTAAATCTATTTTTCAAAAGAAAAAATAATTATGCTTGAAAAATTTATTTTGGAATCCATACATGTAGAAAAATAAATAAAAAACGTCAATACATATAATTTTAAATTAATTAGATGAGATTTTTTAAAAAGGGACAAATTAAATTAGTATATTTTAAACAATAAAAACAATCAACAAAAAACACTAATACAAAATGGGACCAAATCACAATATAATTAAAGTTTGAAATTGCAAAAAAGAAAAGAGAAAAAAATTAAAAAAATGACAATTAATGTAGTAGATTTTAAATAACATAAAAAAAGGAAAAACAATTATTTGAAAAACCCTTTTAATCTAAAAATATGTTTCAGATAAATTATATATATTAAGCATGCCGAGTGTAATTTAAAAATTATGTAAATATATTTTTCAAAAATAAAAAAATAGTAATTATGGTCCAAAAATTTATTCCAAAATCCGTCGATATAGAAAAATAAATCAAAACTATCAGTATATATAATTTTAAATTAATTAAATGAAAATTTAAAAAAGAATGACAAATTAAAATAAAAAATTTTAAATAATAAAAACAATTAACAAAAAATACTAAAACAAAATGAGACCAAATCACAATATAATCAAAGTTTGAAATTGAAAAAATAATTAAAAAAAATTAATGTAGTAAATTTAAAATAATATAAAAAATCAAGAAATAATTATTTGAAATACACTTTTAATCTAAAAAAGCATTTCGGACAAATTATACATATTAATCATGCAACTATAATTTAAAAATCATCTTAATCTATTTTTTATTTCAAAATCCACACATATAGAAAAATAAATCAAAATCGTCGGTAAATATAATTTTAAATTAATTTGATGAGAATTAAAAAAATAAAAATTAAATTTATAAATTTTAAATAATAAAAATAATTAATAAAAAATACTTAAACAAAATGAGAGCAAATCACAATATAATCGAAGTTCGAAATTGAAAAAAAAGAAGAGAGAATTTAAAAAAATGAGAAATTAATGTAGTAAATTTTAAATAACATAAAAAAGCTGAGAGAAAATTATTCGGAAAACGCTTTTAATCTAAATATATAATTTAGTTATATATATTAATCATGCCACTATAATTTAAAAATTATCTAAATCTACTTTTCTAAAAAAATAATAATTATATTCTAAAAATTTATTTCAAAATCTGTTCATATAGAAAAATTAATTAAAAATGTTAGTAAATATAATTTTAAATTAATTAGATAATAATTTTAAAAAATCACAATTTAAAATAGTAAATTTTAAGTAATAAAAATAATTAACAAAAAACACTAAAACAAAATGAGACCAAATTACAATATAATCAAAGTTTAAAATTGAAAAAAAAAGAATTTAAAAAAAATAGCAAACTATTGTAGTAAATTTAAAATAATATAAAAAAACAAGAAAAAATTATTTTAAATAAACTTTTAATCTAAAAATGTGCTTCAGAAAAATTATATATATTAATCATGCCGCTATAATTTAAAAATTATCTAAATCTATTTTTCAAAAGAAAAAATAATCATGTTCTAAATATTTATTCCAAAATCCATACATATAGAAAAATAAATCAAAACCGTAAATAAATATAATTTTAAATTAATTGGATGAGAATTTAAAAAAAAGACAAATTAAAATAGTAAATTTTAAATAATAAAAATAATTAACAAAAAATACTAAAACAAAATGGGATTAAATCACAATATAATTAAAGTTTGAATTTGAAAAGAGAAAGAGAATTTTAAATAAATAACAAATTAAAGTAGTAAATTTTAAATAATAAAAATAATTAATCAAAAGCATTAACATAAAATGGAGGACCAAAGTGTTACAAAAATATACTGAATAGTGAAAGGAACAGTGATTTGTGCATTTGTGAATAATGATTTGTGAGTATATGAATAATGTTTTAAATAGTGAATGAATAGTAAAATTATATTTTATTTTAGTGTTATTGATAATTTCTATTGCTTTGTTTTTATTAAAGAACCCCGTGAAGAAGTTTCCAAGCACCTCTCTTTCTTAAAGGTTTGTCCTTTCCAAATTGAAAAGAAAAGAAAGAAATTCACTCACCTTGAAACCTGTTATGAAATGTAGGCGTAGGCCTATACCAAAACTAAATGGCAATGGCGAAATGAGAACAGAGAAATCGTTCGGTGGAATTCGTCCAAAAATGACATTGTTTTCCATCAGGCACCGAACCAAGACCAATCTCCAGTGTTGATAGAAATGCGAATATCAAATTACTGCTCTTCAAACTGCAAAATGATCAAATGCTACTGAATTTAATTAGGACGAGGAAAAAAAAATAGGAGAAACATTTACAGCTACTGGGATAAAAAAACTTTAGCATAAAATCCAACAGCCTACTTCGAGATGAAGTATTCTGAACATCTATACAAATGCTCTTTCTAAACAAGATCCAGCAATTCATGTCAACTCTCCCTTCAGCTATGGATAGCCTTCCCTGCAAGAGATTTATCACGAAATGCTAAGGCCTACTTCAAGACGAAGTACTTTTAAACATCTACCCATTCGCTTCCTAAATAAGATCCTGGAATTCTTATCCCATCTTGCTATTTAATCACAGATACCCTTCCTTGACAGGAGTTTTATTCCCCTGACCCAGAGCTCAGCCATTTCCAGCCCACCATCACATACAAAGTGCACCTCCTTGTTCTTGGTAGTCAAGACACGAAACAGACCAGGAACATCAGCAATCGCCCCTACTCCGCCTGTTCTTTCGAAAGGTTGGGCTTGGCCCCACTTCTGCTTCCCTGCATATGACATTTCTCCCGCTGGGCTAAATGTTTCATCATATCCATATTGTTGAGAGAACCTTCAAGCCACCGGACAAGCCTTATGTCTCTCAATCGATCCATCCGTGTGATGTTTTATTTTATAAACCCATTTGTAAGAAATAGGCTTCACATTTCGTGGCTTTGGCACGATCTCCCAAGTCAATTTCATTCTAGTGCAGCAATTTTTTCTTCCATAGCTTTAGTCCATTTTGGATTCTGAAATACTTCCTTAAATGTCTCTAGTTTTTTTTACATCTACTTCTTCGACTATAGCGGTGTTAACATACTTGGGATTTGGCTTTTTAACTCTTACTGATCTTCTAAGTGGAGTTGGAGCTTTTATTTTACTAGGCTCATCTTCTTCGCCTAGTTTTTGATACACACCGGTTTGTCATGGACCTTGAGCTAAGCCTTCTTCAACGTAATCACTATTATTGACATCTTCATCTTCACCTAAACTCAATTGGATTTGAATATGTTTCAACTCATCTTTAAAAAAATTGGAGTATGGTAACATCTCTTTTTCTATAGACTACCAAAAAGACATTTCATTAAACACCACATCCCTGGATGTGTAGCATTTTGCAGTTGTAGGACCATAATATTTTTACACTTTCCTTTGACTTTCATATCTCATAAAAATGCATTTAACGACCTTTTTGTCAATCTTGCTATATAAATGATTAGGTACAAATACATAGCATACATAATCGAAAACATGAAAATAACTAACTGTGGTTTCATGTTATAATTTTTTTCAAAAGGTGAAAGCAACATAACCTTTGTTGAGGAAGCCCATTAATCACAAAAGCTACGGTCTTCATTGCTTCGCCTAAAATCATCCTAGAACATTTTTTGCATGAAGCATACCTCGATGTATTTTTGTTAGGTCTCAATTCTTTCTTTCTACTATGCCATTTTGCTACGAAGTGTTGGCACGTATGAATTGATGGTTGATTCGAGCACTCTTGTAAGAAATTAAGAAACTGATTTAAGGTATACTCTTTCCCATTTTCAATGCACACGTAATAAATTTTCATACCAACTTCTACTTTTTCTATCTTCTTAAACTCTTTGAACTTTGAAAAAAATGCAAATTTTTCTTTTATAAATTGAACCTACACATACCTAGAAAATTCATCAATAAAAAATTACTATATACTTCATCCCACTGACAAAAACTTGCTTAACGAGTCCAAACATATCGAGTGAATTAACTTTAATGGTTCATTCGTTGTAAATTTGGACTTTTCTTATGACAAGCGATGCGTTTTGTTGTACTAACATCCTAAACAGATTATGTCTATTCTTATTTCAAGTTGAGGAAGTCATTTTAGCATAGACTTTTCATCATCACATTGCGTTTTTTCGGAATAGCTAACTTGACTTAACCGCATATGCCACAAGTCCATTGTCTCGTTCTTCATCGTCTTGTCTATATATGCAATTTTTGCTAATAGTACATAGGCCGACTCTTGTCTTTATCCCTCTATCACTAGCTCTCTTATAATCTCGAGGTCGTGAAATACCTTCACATCTTGGGGACTAAATAGAACAAAATAGCCAAAAAATGTAAATCGTGCTACTCGATAAAAGATTTTTCTTCATACCAAGAACGTGATAGATATTTTAAAGTGATACCTTATTAGCACTATTTTAAGGAAAGACTATCGTATTACTGATGTGAGCTATTGGTAATTTTGAGTTATTGGTTGTCACCACCACTTAGCTTCCTTTATACTTTGACAAATTCTGCAACTTCTCTTTATTACTTGTCATATGGTTTGAGCGACCGAGTCAATAATCCAATCTTTTTCATAATCAATCTATTTAGACATTATTGCTTTGCGAGAGCTAACTCCTCACTTGTTATAGCAAAGAGTGCCTCGGAATCCCATTCATCTTTGTTTTTGGAAGTAGCAACATACTCTCTATAATCCTTTTCTTCGACCAGACAAGCTTTTGCAATATGACCCTTCTTCCTATAATTGTAGCACTTTGCTTCAAACTTTTTGCCTTTGCCATGATTATTCAAAGCTCCCCTTAAATAAGTGCTCCCTTCACCTTTATGAGTTTTTACCTTGTTCTCATTCCTTTTAGATCCACCAACATTGTCTTGCTTATAATTCCATCTGCTTTTGTTGTCGTAGAGTGCTTCTTTTTGTCCTTTAAGCAAACGCCTCCCATCTACTTGGCTAAGGCTTCCTAACTAGTAAGCAAATTTTTTATTTCAAAAAGTGATGGTTCCCTTTGCCATCCTTGTACTATAGTAACAAAGCTTATATATTCGGGTTTAAACCATGAATAATTATTCTCTTTATTCTAGTTTCCTCGATAGGAGCTTTGAGATCTAACTCAAAAAGTTTATGGCATAATGACTTCACCTTGTGGAAGTACTGAGTGATCATCATGTCATGTTGTGCTATGAACAATAGTGTGCTCTCTAAAAGTTGAAGCCTTGTGTCATTCTTCTTTGAGAAAAGTGTGGCTAATGTATCCTAAACGCATTTGGGGTTTTTAGCATTTTGAATGTGCTCTAGCATGTCTTCTTCAATCATAGTCTTTAAAGAAAACATCGTCTTGCTTGCTTTTATCTTCCACTTTCGCAACGTACCGTTTACATCCTCTGCTACGGATGCGTAACTTCGCTTCCATTGACAACTTCCCACAAGTCTTGGCCTTACAAGTAAGATTGCATACATGTCGACCAAGAATTATATTTTTTATTGTTGAGCTTTTTAATTCCACCAACGACATAAAGATCACTTATCCCGGCTCTAATACCGAATTGTAGAAAAATGGAGAGTAGAAGATATCTCACAAGGCAATAAAATAAATGCTATGAAATGGATGATGTTTATTTGATTCAACTAGAGAACCTTATATAGGCATACAAGAAAACAAACTCAATTACTCATTCCGCTTCTTTTCAGCAATAGACTCATTGACTCTACTAATTCAACGAGAAGATAGGAAAACAAGCGAGTAGACTAGGTGACAAATTAACTTATTTAGCAAGTAAATAGGAATAATTAAGCAAATGACACAACAATAGTAGACTAAGTCTTTAAGGAAATATGTTCCATGAGTTGGTGTTGTATTTAACATGAAAGAGAGAATTTGATTGGTTGTACTTCGATTGTATAGTGAAAAAGGGATTTGGATTGTGATCTAATTTTCTATTGATTATTGGATTTTGTGTGTGTATGATTCATGCATTTTTTGAATTGTTTTAATTGAAATATATATTGCATTGATTGAATACTTTCTCTCTTTATTTTGTTTTGTTCCTATTTTTATGTCACAATGTCGTTAGTCTATGAGTTAATATGGCATGTCACGCTCTTTATTGCATTACATATGTTATATCTAAGACTCCATTAAAAAGACTCAATCAATTTTTTGAAAAAAGTATCGAGTCCTCAATAAAAAAAAATCAAAGACTACAAAAATCAAATTATGATTATTATTATTGTTGTTGTTATTTTACTTTTCATGTTACTAGTTTTTTAAAACTTCATCTTGAATGAACAAAATATGTCATATGTGGAACCCCATCATAATAAAACTATAAAAAAGTTTTTTAACAAATAAAAAAACTATTATAATAATTTAGAAATAATAAAACATATAAAAAACAACATAACATGAAGTTAAAAAATACTAAAGCATGTCAAAATTAAAATGAAACAACAATAACATTAACTAGTAGCTAATTATTTATCTCAAACAACATAAAAAATTATTGTACGTATAATGCAATTCTCTTAATTTAATAGGTCTTTAGTTTTTCTTCAACACTATTATTCGCCAATTCTTTCGCTTTACTAACCGCACAAGTCCTCGACCCATGGGGCTACATGATTTGATAGTTACAATTAGATTCCGTTCAAAAAACTTAAATTTTATGATAGATGATTCATTTAATGTTTTTATATTACTTTATATTTTTTTATTTATTCGATGTATGATATGTTCATTAACATTTTTCACTTTTAACTCATTTTTTAGGATCTATCAAAAAGTTCAAATTTTAAGATTTTTATTGGATCGTTAGACTTTTTTGAGACTTTGATATCAAATAAAATTTGATAATTAGGATTGGATTTCATTTAAAAAAAATCTTAAGTTATATGATGGATGATTCATTTTAAATTTTATATATTACTAGACAAAAAAAACCTACTTTTGTTAATAACTACAATACGAGGATATCTTTGAACACATAATTTGCGTATCTATGGAGAAACATGCAAAGCCATGGGAGGTTAATTACAATAGTCACTTGTTCCAAACCGAATCATGGGCTCTGATATCTCTAGATAGGGATCCATATTTGGAGAAGTTCTTCGGGCCCACACATGGGTTTGTACGTATAAAAGGTTGCCTGTAAGGATGGATACTACATTAATTTACAAACCTAAACTAATTAAATATGAATTCATTTTATATAGAAACACTTCAAATTTTTATTTCTAACCAATATATATAAAGATTATCTACTTATACAAAAAACTCAAGGATCTTTAAATTCTGACTTTGATATCAAAATTATATATATTTAGAAACAAGCAAATAGTTCGGAATGCATTTCGCTTTTTATTCTTGCAGCTCTTTCAAAGATAGGCAGAGGCCTTCTAATTAGTTTCCTTAGCAGCCAAATTAATATTCTAGGACAACCACATGGGGCAATCCTCACAACTGTTTCGAAATTTCAACTACATTGAGATCGCAAGATCAATACAATTTCGTCAAAATACTTGAAAAAGGAGTGGAACACCATTTAATTTTCATTTCTCACCAAAATTCATACGCGCAGTCACTTTCTTAAAAGCTGGCCTCGAAGAGATATCCTCCCACCATGCCTTAACATGCGGCCGCTCATTTACAACCGAAGCTGCGGGAGTCTTCATCAGATAATACGTGGATGGTAGGTGGTGAAGGTCAGCCAAGCTATAGAAATCTCCAGCAAGGTACTTGGTGCTACTCAGCCTAGCTTCATATAAGTCAAGCACTTTCCCTAGCTTCTCTAAGTTGGTGTCGATGATTGTTTGATCAGGTAAATTTCCTTGAAGTGGAGCCAAGAAGAATTGAAAGAAAATTGGTGATATCGCAGGGTGAAATTGGTGGGATTCTACCTCTGTCCAAACCTTCACCAATGCAGCTTCTTTAAAATTTTTATGCCGTACAAGATCGAAGCCAGTTTCCTTGAATTTTTGAGCAACATATGATGTGATTGCTCTGGATTCTGCAAAGAAATCAAACATTGTCGTCAAGTTATTATAAAGAGACCTTGTGTAAGTAGAGGCTTTGATTGTTAATTTGGCGCAGTAATCCTTTCACCTAGAAAAGGAGCTCCAAAATCGTTTGAAGAAAAACATGATTACGATCTTTGACCTACGAGACGATCATAGGAAGACATTCAACGGAGTGAGACCAACGATGAGTTGCCTAGCCGACAGACCAAAGCCTGGTCCTCCAGTTACATCCTAAGCGATCTATCACACAAACCAAATTTGGTCCAAAAGCGAGTACCTTAACACACGCACTAAACACTGGTTTGCGTGTCCAATTAACCAGACAATTTATTGTTGCTATGATCACACGAACATAATACAATTATAATGTGTTAATACATTCATTTATTGCACCACAGAAGTTTATATAATCATCTTGTAATTTAACTGGCTATTACCTTATAGTAGTAACTAGCATATTACAATAAAAACATATCACAAAATAAGAAAAAAAAACATAAATTTTTACTAAAAATCAAGAAAAAATATTTATTATAAGAATAAAAAATCAAATATAATAAAATTTTAATATTTATTAGAGGGATAAAAGCTAAATATAATAAAATTTTAATGATAAAAATTAAAAAAATTAAAAAAAAAGACCAAAATAAAAAATAATTTCCTTAAAAGCTTGGAAGCTAACAACCGACCAAAAAAATAAATAAATAAATAAACAGTGAAGTGTTACAGTGGTTTTTAATTTTTTTTTAGTTTTATTGTAATAATTGTAGTTATGAATGGTTGAGTGGGATTATGACTTAATAATAAAGAGTATTGATATTTTAGAAACACAATGATATGATGGGGTTAAATTTTGGCAGCTGTTAATTAGATATTTTTGTCGATTTCAACAAACTTTTTCAAAAACATTTGCTTTGCAATACCAAATCATACACTTAAACACGCCAATCAGTCAGGATCTCCAACAACATTCTCAAAAAATCACCCTGGCTCAAGTAAAACACTAATCGTTTCAATAGTAGTTTACTAATACACGGTTTGAGCAAAGGGCCCTCTGTGGGATTATATTATACCAGATGTGGATCAAATTAATTATTTATGTCGCAGGAAAGTGTGTAAACTCAAGAGTTATCGAAGAAGTGATTTAAATAAAGTACTAACTTACCGAATAAAATAAGATCGTCATCTTCAAGTACTGGAAACTGACCAAAAGCCTGCACGCATATAGAATACAATTTAGCAGTGAATGAAAATGAAACCAGAAACTAACACAACTAAACAGAAAGTTCGTGCTTCGTTACTTTTTTGGCTATGAAAGGAGGCTGCTTGTCTTCGCCGGCGAAAAGATCAACTGGGACAAGCTCAAAATCTAAGTTCTTCTCATGGAGACATGTTAGTATACGAGAGGTGCATACAGACATGGGTGCTCCATACACTTTAAGTGCCATTGAAGAAGTCAGGCCAATGGGTTTCCCTGATAATTTTTTATTTTTGTAGATGAAAGAAAACCAAACACCTTCACTCCTTATATGCTACTTAGCTGCCCTGCCTAGCTAGTGACTTCTTCGAGCAATTTTTTTTATCTTTACTCTGAAATGCATGTGCCTGCGGTAGTTCTGATGCGTGTTTTTACTTTCCATGTTTTATTCGTGGTAAACGTGTAGACTTGCTGGTCAGTCTTTCAAAAACAAGGGCATTGACTAACTGGTGTAAGTCCCTTGGTTATTTTTCTGTACATTGGAAAGTACGCTGTAACTGCATCCCTGACACATTCTGAATAAATTGGGATCAAATTCTACTCTGATTAGAGGAACATCAGGGAAAGAGCTGTGCGTTTATGAGCTAAGATCGTTTGATTTTTTATGAAAAGAGCCGGTTCGCAAGAAAATGCTCGGTGGCTAATTTACTTACCAGTTCTAAAAAGTCCATCCTAAACAATTGAAACATTTACTGAACTACCTAGACATATTTAAAAATAGAAAATGTTATAGCTTTACAAGACATCTTTGGATGTATCTAAAAAAAAATCTTATCCATAAAATCAAAATGAGTCACACATTCAAATTAAAATTATTAAAAAAATTAAATATTCTGCTAAACTCTGCAAGCTCGAGGAAAATAAATGAGTTAGGTAGCAAAATTTATGACAGCAAGAGTATTTTTTGACTAATTAAATATTTCAATCAAAATAGTCGATTTTCGCTCATAATTTCTAGGGCCAAGAGGGACCTCACGACAGCTTGCATTGTTATTTTTATTATTATTATTGGTCCCAACGTACTCCTATATCAGATCAACAATCCAACGTATGCAGATTTCTATTAGAGGGTACCAAAAATGCACCCAATTTCTGCAGTTGTCGGTGCTGAATCGACAGAAACAGTAAATGCACGGCGTACGACGAATCTTCACAGTTAATATTCGTATCAAGATTAAAGAGGGACCTCAAAAATCACAATAACTTTGTTTTCTTCATTGGTCCCACCGTGCCCCTATGGCTATTATGGTCAGATCAACATGTGCAGATTTCATTTTTGAAAAGTAGGAAAAAAAGTAACAGATTTTTGTAGCAGGTGGCCAAGGATCGACCTCGACGAAGAATCTTCTGGTTTGTTGTAGAAGAAAGCTAAGGAAGAAAAATAAATCAACATGAACAAATAAGAAAGATCGAGGATAGTTCTTTCGTACGTAAGAGCCAATGAGGTGCTTTTCGATTTTGGTCATAAGACGCTTTAAATTTTCAATTTTAAACTGTTGAATTTTGGTCCCTTTGAATATTCTACCAGTCATCGCTACTGTGCAATCCATCGAAAAGATTAGCAACAAGCGAATGAAAATCGTTGCAGCTGGCATAGATTGAGTGTTTATTTTTCTTTGATGGAATCTTCACTTTTATTTTCTGAATGCCTCGATCGAAGATGGCAAGATTTTTTTTTTTTTTTTTTCATAGCAGGATGATAATAAGAAAAAAAAAAGTCAATGAAAATGATATAAGTCCAATAAAAATTCCTTTTGTGGTGTGGTTGTTGAGAGTCAATATAGGAGGCTTTGTCCATGTCCTTCTTTCTATACATTTTTTTTAAAGGATTCCTTATACCATATGTTCCCTTACGTTTTCCTTACTCTTTTGTCTAATTCTAATTCTATATATATATATATATATATATATATAGTAAACTTCAATCTTAAACTCCAATTTCATGTTATATCATAAAAATACCGCTGTAGGAGGATGAAAATTAATATCGAAATATTAAAATTCAATCTTAAACTCCAAGTTCATAATTATATCATAAAAATAACGTTGTAGGAGGATAAAAAAAATTTGAAAACCAATCTTCTTGAAAGAACTTTGAACTTTGATCACTGATTAATATAAATTAATAAAAATATGTTTTTTTTTCCTTTTGTATACGTTAAATCAATGTGGAGATATATTTGTAATATAATTTGAGAAAGAGATTAGGTATCCATTAGTCTACAAGCTGGTTAAAAAATATCTCTGATCTAAAGATAAAAATATTTCAATCGAACCACGCGATGAATTGAAAATTCCAATATGCATCCTAGTTTGGTCACAATTGAACGCTGATTTTTTTTTTTTTTCAAATCAAACTCTAAAAATGGTGTTTCTTCTTGGATGTTGGACTGCAACACTTCAGCAGCAGGGAAATAGACATTCGAGCTCGATAAAAATCAAGCATCGTTGCAAAGTCTGCATTTGCAAGGATATGGGATTTGGGCTACTGGGCCTGCTATCGAAGTCCAAACGCAGAACTGGTGTTGCTGATGGGCTGACAAAAATGCCACCGAATGCCCTATTGAACTGGTTTTCTGGTCATTAAGGCCATTTTCTTTTCGTGGGCCTAGTTGAAATCCATGCAGCGAAAGAGCAATAGATGGAGCCATCATTCCCGAATTTTGCTTGATGGTGCTGAAATGCCGGTCATCCAAACGCGGTTCGTAATTTTCGTTCAATTCTCCTTGTTATTGATTTTTTCGTTTTTCATTTTTCTTTTTTCTTTTTCAAGAGTCACGTTGAACTAACTTATCCGTCAATTGATACTAAATATTTTTAATGAATAATTTTAAAAATAAATTCATCACATCTCTTTTTATATTTAAAGAAATATTATGAAAACACTTTTTTAATATATAAAAAACACTCTTAATATTTTTAAAATATTCCATTTAACAGTAATAAAATTTTAAACTAATAAGGACAATTTATGGACAAAAAAGATATTTTTATAATATTTTTGAAGTTTTGAATGTATAACACCTTAAGAAGATTATTTTACTTTTATCCAATATAATAAAAACATTTTGGATAAAAAAAGAAACTTTTTTAATATTTTCTTAAAGGTTATTCAAGTTTTTGTGTGATACATGTAATGTCAAAATACTTTTAAAAATTAATTAGTTTTTTTTTTTTCATTTAGTTGTTAAAATGGGGAAAGAAAAAGATGAGAAGCAAATAGAAAATAGGTACTCACTCTGTTTTAAATTCAAAAAGATTATTTTTATTTTCTATTTATATATGTTTCAAAATGCTTGTTTAATACTGTATTAAAATAATCATATTTTATAATGCAGAATTGATAGGTTTTCTCACTAAAAAAAATGATATTTTTTAAAAATATATCGTTAAAAAAATACTAATATGACATTATAATTAATAAGTTTTTTAAAATGTATTAAAAGTCAAAATAGATTATCAATTTGGGATAAAGGGAGTGATTAGATATCCACATTGTTTTTTTGCTTAATGTAAACTCGGTTTTGGTAAATTTCCAAATCAGCCTTACCCTTATCATCTCAATAATAAAGAACAAAATAAAATTATGCTTGAAATTTCACAAAACCATGGAATAGTTTCAATTTATAGCAACCAAATTAATATTCTACGACAACCACATATTGCAATTCCTACAATTTTGCTAAGTTGTTTCGAAATTTCATAACATTAAGATCACAATCAACACAATTTCGTCAAAATACTTGAAATGAAGCAACAGAACACTCTTCCAGTTTCATTTCTCACCAAAATTCATACCCTCAGCCACTTTCTTAAAAGCTGGCCTAGAAGAAATATCCTCCCACCATGCCTTAACATGCGGACGCTCATTTACCACCGAAGCTGCAGGAGTCTTCATCAGATAATACGTGTATGGTAAATGGTGGAGGTCAGCCAAGCTGTAGAAATCTCCAGCAAGGTACTTGGTGCTGGTCAGCTTGGCTTCATATATGTCGAGCACTTTTCCTAGCTTCTCTAAGCTGGTGTCGATGACTGTTTGATCAGGTAAAATGCCTTGAAGTGGAGCCACGAAGAATTGAAAGACAATTGGAGCTATCGCAGGGTGAAATCGTTGGGATTCTACCTCTGTCCAAACCTTCACCAATGCAGCTTCTTTCAGGTTTTGGTGCCGTATAAGATCGTAGCCAGTTTCCTTGAACTTTTCAGCAACGTATGATGTGATTGCTCGAGATTCTGAGAAAGACACGAAACATTGCCGACAAGTTATTATAAAAAGAATTCAATGTGTAGGTAGAAGTTCGTCTTCAATTGTTTGGTGAAGATGCCTAGGGAGTTGATGTTTTCACCAACAGAAGAAACTCCAAAAATTCGTACATAAAACTCGGTTAGGATCTTTGAAGTACAAGCCAATCAGAGGAAGACATGATTTGGAGTGGGACCAACAATGGGTTGACCAGTCAAAAGAGGAAAACCTTGCCATCCACTTGCATTCTAAAGTGTATCTCATAAATTAAATTTGGTCCAAAACAGAGTACCTTAAAAATACATAAGAACAATTGGATTGCAAGTACAAGTAACTAGACAATCTATTGATGTTTGCTATGGTTCGCCGGTTTTAAATCACGAGCAGTTAAAAAAATAATCATAAAAAATAATCATAATTGTTACCACAAATCATAATTTATTATAATATTAAAATAAAAATAATAAAATTCTTCAAAATCGATATATAAAACCGTTATATAAAAATTGTTATTCAAATCTATATCATGATCAGATTAATAGTTTAACTGTTAAATATATTTATTTATATATGCATCATAGAAGTTTATATAATCATTTTGTAATTAAACTGTTTATAATCGAAGCAATTAAGTGGGACTATGACTTATAACTTACCTTAAGAGTTGCATTGATATGATGAGTTTAAATAGTGGCGAAATATTCTGTGTCAGTTTAAAGGCTTTCAGCGTAATTTTGTTTCATGGCTACTGTTAATTTATAGGCTACTTGATCCTTGAAAATATGTTACTTTTACCAGTACAATAGGCTGGTTGGTTTTAACTTTAAATCCACTAACCAGACAGAATCTCCAACAACATTCTCAAAAGATCACCCAGGATACCAGTCCGAGTCAAAAATCAAATCAATCGTTCCAATCGCAGTTTATAGATATGTGGGTTGAGCAAAGGGCTCCCTATGGAATTACATAATATCAGTGTAGAGAATTAAATATCTCACTTATGGGAAAGTGTAATCTCTCATGTGTTAGTGAAAGAAGCAGTTAGAAATGAATGATCGTAGCTTACCAAATATAGTAAGATCATCATCTTCAAGTGCTGGAATCTGACCAAAGGGCTGCATGCATGCATATAGAATACAATTCATTAAATAGTGAATGAAAATGAACACGCACAAATTAAAGGTAAAACAAAATTTGGTGCTTACATTTTTGGCTAGGAAAGGAGGCTGCTTGTGTTCGCCAGCGAAAAGATCAACTGGGACAAACTCAAAATCTAAGCCCTTCTCATGGAGACAGGTCAGGACACGAGAGGTGCATGTGGACATGGGTGATCCATACAACTTAAGCGCCATTGATGAAGACGGAGAAATAGATTTCACTTATAACTTAGTTTGTACTTTTTGTAGATGAAAGAAAACCAAACTCCTTCCACTCCTTATATACTAGTAACTAGCTAGCTAGCTGGTGACTTCTTTAGTAAAAAAAGGTTTTCTTTTTCTTTTTTTTGGCTTCTCTGCTAAGTTTGCTACTTGGTAGTGGCTTCTCTGAAATGCATGTGCTCGCGGTAGTTTTCCTGTGTGTTTTCAGGTTTCTTATTCACGGGAAACGTGTAAACCTGCTGGTCAATCTTTCAAACATAAGAGTGTTGACTCGCTGCTGTAAAGTCCCTTCATTTTTTTTTTTTTTGTAAATTAATAAAATGTGTGAGTACTAGCCAATTCATTAACTTGTTTAATACTATGATTCTAAACGTGTGGTTGATGCTTTTTCAACCGTGCTGTTTTCGGAAAATTTGGGTGAATGCATTTTGGAAAATCATTTACATTCTTAATAAATTGGGATAAAATTCTACTCCGGTTAAAGGAAAATTAGGGAGAGGGCTATGCCTTTGGGGAGCCCAAGTTGACTATTCTTCCAACAAATCGAAAAACAAATGTCAAGTAGTACTGGGTAGTGGTTTGTTTTTTTCTTACTTTCCAATTCATCAGTTTCAGTGCCTAGATACGCTGTTCACATGGATTTTTCACAAAATTAACCAAAACTGTATTTTAGTGTATCCTGAAGAAAAAAGAATCCACCGAAACCTACGGGTATTATAGGGTGTTTTGTCTTATTATGGAGCTAACCTGACGTTAGTCTGAAATTGTTTTCACTGAATATCACATGGAAGAGTTGTGCTAAATTGTTTGAATTTCATGCGTATGTTGGGTGCTCTTTCGTGCAAATATTTTATCTGGTTTTGATAATCAAAAGCTGATTCGCGTGAATTTGCTCGGTACGTAAAAGTGAAGGAAATTTTTGTATGCAAGAATATTAATTCAAAAAAAGCAATACTAAGACGAGGAAATCTTGGGTTGCTAAATCGGTCTTAGTCGTAGAAGCTGGTAAGATAAACGATGACACGATCACGTCAGGCTTACAGGATGACAGAAGAGCAGCATTGACCTTTGTCTTCCCAAGCACATGGGCAATCAAACTAAAACTTAATTTGATAGCAAATTGCTTGCATATATTAGTGTAGCGATATATATATATATAGCTCGTTCAAATGTGATCCAGTCAAACAGCAATTCCCAGTGAATTGTTATTAAAATGCTCGGCAGCATCGATCTTGAGATTTCTCCTCCCTTTTTAATAATGTACGTATGTGGCAGAGAGCAAAGTTCCGTCAGTTGATGGGAATCAAATCTACCAAGACAAATATTTCACAAAAAATACAGTTGATTAAATAACCTGACATTATAAGAAAATATGTTTAGAGTTTAGATCTCCAGTCCATATATAAGAATTATAATTCTTATTAGCATTTCTTTGATCAGATTGAAAGCGTAGAATTAGTCTCAATATGTGAATGCTTGCATAGTTTTTGAACTTTTTTGATAAAAAAAAAAGGGATAGAAAGAAAAGCGCAGTGGTGTGCTACTTCGATGTAGTATATACAGGAGAATCAACCTCATTTGACAGTAGTGAAAAATAATTATAACCTCATGAATCATGTTTTCTTATAGTTTCTCGAAGCAGAGATTGAAGTAATGGCCAAGAGCAACGACACAGTAGCCACTAAATAAACGACCATTGGTAACCCGGCAGAGGAAAAATTATCCTCAAAATAGAAAAAAGAAAAACAGAGGGAGATAGAAGCAAAAGTTGAAAGGATAGAGCCAATTTGCTGCGAGGAATGAGGATTCTCACGTTAGACAGATAAGGATAAAAAAAAGAAAAAGGAGCATTGGCCTCGGCAAAGGCCGAAGAGTCATAAGAAATGTCCTCTAAAATTTCTGACAGCATTGGAAAATAACTGTATCGCATTATACTCAAATAGTAACCGACCAAAAGTTGCGCCGCATATGGATTTGCCACGACTCATTTTAGCTACGGTCTGCATCGAGCCACATACTTCACACGTGACTGGTGGGAAAAAAGTTGTTGTTGAGCAGCAGATGCTGAAATTCACCCAAAAGTTGATTTCGTTGCTTTTGACTACAGGTGACGTTTTGCAGCCCTAAATAGCAAAAAAAGCGTGATAGATTCAAATTCAAATACTACCAGGTTAATTTTATTAGGAATATTCAGTATATGAGTAAAAAAAAATCATAAATATTATGCAGTGTGGAATAACTGCAATATAAATACATTGATTTTAATTTTTTTCTAAATTACATGATTTTTTTTTTAAGTATATCAACTTTTTTTAAATGCTAATTAAATATTTTCGTCAATTTTTTCATTAACAAATGATATTAGAGAGTAATATAAATTATATTTTAAGCTTAACCTAACGAGTTTAAACTTTTAAATGAGATGTTCCTTTAATATAGTATCAAAGCTTGGTTGATCAATTGGTAGTATTAAGCACGAGGCAATGTGGATCTATGTAAGTTGTTAGGGAGTAATATAAATTATATTTTAGGGCTTCAGCTAATAAATTAATTTAAACTGTTAGATGAGATGGTCCTTTAATAAATGATATAAATTATATTCGAGACTTTACCTAACGACTTAATCTCTTAGGTGAAATGGTCATTTAATAAATGACGTCTTCCTTATTCATAAAATACTAAATTGCAATTTACCCTTTTTTTTTCAATCGAATACACAAATTTTAATTTTTTTTAAAATTATTAATCAAGTACTTACGTTAATTTTTTTATTAAGCGATGAAGTGTTTGTTATCTCTAAAATATCAAATTATATTTTTTTCATTTTTTATTTAAGGGAACTTTATCTCCAAATGCTTACAAGCAATAAATTTTTTTGATGAAAAATATCACGTTTGTGTTTTTCTTTAATTTTCATGTCTAAATTTAGTTGAGTTTAGTTTGAGATTTTATAGTTAAAACAATGTTTTTTTTAATTCTTTATCAAATTTTAAAATGGTAGAATAATTTAGAAGAAAGTTTTCTCCAACAAAAAGAAAAAAAATTTGATATTTTAGAGGCAACAAAAGCTTCATCAATTGATGAAAAAAATTGATGGAAGTACTCGATTGAGTTTTTTTTTTTAAATTAAAATCTATTTATTCAATTGAGAAAAAAATATAGAATAATAATTTAGTATTTCAAGAGAAACGAACACGTCATCATTTTATAGATAAATTAAAAAAAATACTTGATTGTTAGTTTTGAAAAAATCAATTTATTTAAACAAAAAAAAATAAAATTCATATATTTAATTAAAAAAGTAAAATATTAATGTATTAACGTACTTATAGTGTATTTATTCCTATAAAGAATTATCTCAAGCCCTGTAGAACAATAAGACGACATGAAGAATGACTATTTTCAATTTGAACATCAAGCGTGCTAAAGAATAAAAATACATTACTAACAAGTTGTTAATCCAACAATAAACAAGTCGATTTTGTCGATGTATAGAATTTTAATTTTAAAATTACACTTATTGAAAGAGATTAAACTTTGTTTTTTTATTTTGTCTCAAATAAAATTACTCATGTCTTCAATTTAAGATAGAGATACCTGGAGGAAAAAAAAAACCGATTAAAAGTAGGTTTACATCCATGAATTCTACCATTTTCCGGGGGAAATTAACCATTACGCAATCATTACAAAAGCGCTTGGAAACATAAGCAAATATCGTTAAAATATAAGTTGACAAACACAGATATTGACTTATGAAATTACAACACATCTTATGATGGTTTAACTAAGTAATAAACACTCAAAAAGCAGACTAATTAGTTCTTCGTTAGTCATTCAAACTACTCTGGATCTCAACAATGAGCAAACACCTGGAAAAACACGCACAGGCTCTTTTATCATGCCTCAGTTAAAAGTTTAAATTAAATAAAAACACCACCGCTTACACTATATAAATATTACGGACCATAAACAGATTCAACAATGATTCCAAATGGAAATGAACTGTGGCAGAAAAGGCAAAGGAATCTTAAACGCAAATATCCATTTGAGATTTTTGCACGCTCATTCAATCTCGTAAAAATATCAAGCAGAAGACGACATTAAATTCAATGGATTTATGGAGACAGGCGCCCACAAGCACTTTCTACAGAAACAAACCATTTACATGTTAAACAGGGAAAGAGAGAAGGAAAAGGAAAAAAAATTCAAAGCCACAACTGGGACTACTAACATTTGTCGAGTCAGACCGCAGAGAACACATACAATCACTGGTTTGAACCTACTAAACCACACTTTCGATTATAGACTCTGGAGACTTTTTTAATTCTCGAGACCAATTTTACGTAATTTGAGACTCAAGATGGCATAAAATTACAATAAATAATCTTATTGTTTTTGCCTTTTTTCTTTTTCTACATACTTTACAATTTTATAGTTACATATTTACAGCATGATATAGCCATATAGATGAGGCATTGCAGGAAATACCAAAAAAGAAAAAAGAGAGAACATATTTCCAAAGTGAATATGAGATGTCTCCTTAAAAGGTTGCTTCCGGCTTCAAGAAGTTGTGATACTCCAGCTGAACCATCTCTCCACCATTCACAGGGTCAAACTGACATCTATAGAAACTGCAATCACAAACAACTGCCGATGAACAATTTTATTCCAGCAATTTCTTTTAATCATGAAAATAAATTGTCAAGCAAGAGAAAAACTAAATGGCTAGAAGCAGAGACCGTTACAGTGAGAATAGGGAGGGTGACAGTAGGAGGCGAATGTTGAGACCAGAGAAAGGGCACGATGGCAAATGATTGGGGAAAATACGAAGAAAAATGAGACACACGCTATCATCAATGAAGGAAGAGTTGCCTAGACTGAAACACAACGGTATAGGGAAAATTCCCAAGAAAAAACAGGCACTTCCATTTCAGGCTTTTCTGACACACCCCCCCCCCCGCGATTGGTACAGGCCCTTCTATAAAGAAGTGGCTCACTGGTTTCCAAGAGAGGATCCTTCTAGAGTGCCTTATGTGCATTTTTTATCCCAAGTAAGAAATGGGAAATGCAGCCATGACCAGAGAACAACTGATCATGGCATATAAATTTTTGATCAGTCAAAAAACAGCAAAAAATTTAAACTCAGGTTTGCAAACTGCCAACAACTGTTTCAGGAAACTCACATCACTCAAAAACATTAAAGAAACTGTTGCAGATGATTCTACAAGCCACATCAGACAAGGAATTTTAAGATCAATGCCTTTGGATTATCCAAAAGCATTCCAAGAATTTGCTTTCCACAAAATGTGCAACTTGTTTCTCTTTTTTAAACTGGCAGTTCATTAACTGCACATATAGGTCCTCCAGAAATTACCAGGAAAGCTGCAACTTATTCCCAGAAACAAATTCTACCCATCACTATAAGAGGTAGTTTGTTGATCTACCAGGGACCTCAGTATAAAGCAAAATGAAAACGATGAAAAACTTCTACAGCAGTAGAATAGAACCCATGCATTATTTTCTTACCTTCCATCCAAACCAAGAATAACTACTGTATTCTTTTGGTGACCAAAAGCAACAACGTACTGAGAACCCTCAAGCAAGCGAAACTGAGCTACTGACCACTCTGAGCTAAAATACTTTGGTAAAACTCCTGCAGATGAAATCGTAAATAAAATACAGAGACAAAATATGCATGCATAAAAATTGATCTAATTGCACAACTTCAAAACAAGTATGAATTATCCTGATGTTGCAGTATGAAGATTGAAAAATAAGAACTTCTTTCAGCAGATAAATGTATGCACCCACTTGCTGGATTCACAAGTGCTTTATTGAAAGTGACACTTTTAGGAAACTGTTCAATAAGGTCAACGATACAAATTTTCATTATCAATGTTCTTTAAGCAGCAATAGTATTCACATATAACAATCAGCTAAAAAGTCATTGACCCATATTGATTGTCAGATCTCAGATGATTCCTCATCTTTTCTTCTATTTTCCAAATTGAAAATTTTCGTCGTGCTTTTTTAAAGGGAAGCTGCAACAAATGCAGTTTAAGAAAACTTTGTTCCATTGAATTCAATATGAAATCTTTTAGTGATTTCGCATTGCTGGTTTTAATTGTCCTCTCCATAAATATTGCATTGACATAAAAAAGGATAAAGTTATAATGTTCAAAAACTGACAACAGCAAAACGTTAAATATTTTACAATAACAGAAGATATGGGTTAGAGGCCATTTACCTTTGAAGAAAGATAAAGATGAGGCAGGCGAATTAACAGAAAGATTAGGCTCATTTGTGCTCTGTGACCGGTCAATCCCTGGAGATCCTGAATTAATCTTAAGGCTGAAGACATGGACAGTGCCCTTATCACTTGAGACAGCTAGCCATTGGGCAGTTGAAGAAAACGCCAAACTATAAATTTCTGCTCTATCTGCACCCCTCCTAACCTACATTTGGGCATCAAGTTAGTTTCAACATATATAGAATTTCAAAAGACTAATCGTTAGGAAGAATCATCCTACCAGAACAGAGAATAAAAAAATTTACTTCTCTACTATATACAGAAAATAAAAGTAGAAATGCAGATATGACATAATTGAGGAGTTGAGAGGCAGCCAAGATTAGGATAGAAAGAGGACATTACTTCAGTGAAGGGCATAGAATAGAGCTTACATAAGAAACAAAATATAAATAGGCCATTTATTTAAAGGAAGAATATAATTTGAAGCACACATATAAATATAAGAACAAATCAACTGAAAGCATTCAAAACAGATATAGCAACCACATGGAGCATTACAAAAACAATGTACAGATCCAAACACAATTTCCCGTTTTCCATTCGAACACTGCATTTGCATGCCACTACATTGAAATCAGTGAAGACCTATACATCATATTTCATGCGCCTTGAAGAAAGACAGAAAGGAAAGAACTTCCCTTACATTTTTGGCGTGAATGGCCACAACTATTACAGTAGGAGCAGGCAGCATGATATCACCAATTGATAAGGACAAACACCATATTTATGGTACAAACTAGCATTCCTATCGAAGTTCTATTTAAAAATAAAAAGGAAACGGTTAACAAAAGCCCCAGATAGTGAATACATCCCAAGCTAACGTTTATCTAGACTAACACTAAATTGTCATTCCTACTGACTTCCTGCGTTTTTGGAAGCGTTAAAATGAAAATTCAACTCCTCACAGCTAATTTTCAAATCCCTTCCAAAAAAAAAAAAAAAACTAAAACGACCAGCACCACACCAATTTATTAACAGAATATCTTCCAGCAACCTCAACTATTTCCTAACCACATTGCACCAACAGCACTTCATACTCAACACAGCTAGCTATATAAAACCACAAAACACAAACAAAAGAGAAGAAAATATATATACCTCTTGAAGCGAAGTACCATCAGCTGTATTGAAAACCCGAACGAGAGTCCCTTTAGTGCTAGCAGTGGCCAGCAACTGCCCATCCTGCGTGAGAGCAAAACACGCAATCCTGGAATCATGCGCCATAATGAACTTAGTTCGTTTCGACGCGTAATGCTCGACTCTAACCTGACCTTTCTGCAATCCTGGACAAACCAACACTAACGATCCTGCCCCATGTGAAATCGCACAAAGCCCTTTCGGGTTGGCAATCGTTTCAATCTGATGCAAAAGCTTCAAATCCGCAAAGTTATAAACAAATATCTTCTGCTCCAAAACAACAATAATCCGGTCTCGTCTTAGCTTCACGGACCGTACCTCGGACCGAAACGATAGTTCGCCAATGCATCGACTCTGATGGTCATCCCAGATCATGACTTTGTTCGGAGGGTACTGGGGGTCAGGTCCACCACCAACAAGAGCCAAAATATTGCATCTAAAAAGCATCTCAACCACTCCAATCCCGCCGCCGCCGCTATTTCCACAGCCATCGAAGTCGCGACGGAAGATCTCGCGGAAGGGGTCGCAGTTGTAGATCCGAAACCCGTGGTCGGTTCCAGCGGCGAAACACCCAAAATCCTGGTTGAAGGAGAGGTGGAGGAGAGAAATCGGAGGCAGCGTCGAGGTTGATTGAGGTGGGGAAGGTATAGATGTTTTGTAATTGGAAATAGGAGAAGGGTCAGGGTTCGGAGGTATAATAGAAGAGAGCGAATCGTAGGATTGAGACTCAGACGGGGACTGGGTTTGCGAATCGAGTTCATCTTGAGTTGAGAGAAGGTCCGAGTTAGGGTTCGTATTTGGCCAGGGAGTAGAGGAGTAAGTTGAGATAGTAGCCATGGACGCAGGACCAAAAGGAGGAATCTGGAGTTCAAGGGGATTATTATGAAACGGCGAAGGAGACAAACAATCATGTTTATAATGGTTAAGCGGAAATGACTATGTTGTCCATGTTGACTTGCGTGTGAGATGGCTGAGGTTGGGGATAGTTTTGTCCTAGAGATCGTTGGATGTTGTGTTGTATAAGGATATTAAATAATTTGTGGTGGTTCGATTGTTTACAGACACGTGTTGTGTTGGAGACGCATGAGGGATGACTTTAGCTTCGTCTTCAAGCAAATTTTTCGCGGTAGCCCAAGGGAATACTGCTTCTCCCTTATAAGTTAATGATTTTTCTGCAAATAATTACAAATTACGTATTTACATCTTTCATTCTTTTGATTTTAATTTTCCTTTTTTTTTTAATTTATCAATTTAATACTCGTGCTATTATTAGATTTTATGGTGACGTGATGACAGATAAATTTATTTGTGATTAATTCAAAGATTGTTTGTTATATAAATGAGAAATGAGAAAAATAATTCTCGAAGGTCAGTGAAGTTTTTCTATCAAATTGAGATAAATGTATTTCTTATTTAAAAAAACTCGAAATAATAAAAGAATAAAAATAATTAGAAACAATTACAGTTTAAAAAAATGTTTAACAAATTATTTTCTTTTAAAAAAGAAAATTCTCATCCATTAAATTAAAAAAAAAAGGTTTCAAGAGCTAAAAACATTATTATCTTTCAAAAAAAATAATTTTTTTTGTATAAAATAAGAATAAATTGTTAAATTTGTTCTTATATTATTGGATAGTTCTTCCATGTATCTCTAAATTTTTAATTGACTTTATTGTATCCTTGTATGGTTTAAAGGTGTTTTTAAAATGAAAAATACAATTTTATCTATTGAAGAGAAAAACTAAAAAGGCATTTGGTATGCGGATTAGATGTTTATTGAAATGTGATTGTTTAAAATATCATATTTGTATTTGGTTGAAAATAAAAAGCCTTAGTAACTTGTCTTTATCGTGTTTAATTCATTTTTGAAAATTCATGAGAAATAGAAACAAGTTTACCATTTTACTGTTGAAATTTAAAATATCTAATTTGATAATAAAATATTTATCTTTCTTTGAAAAAAAAAACGCTTTTATTAATTTGTGTTTAAAACTAATATATATTGAATTGAATCGATAATTATTGTTATCATCAGGTCAGGTAATATACGTACAAACAAATCATAAAATGTACATAACAAATTAATTATCTTGGTACTGAGTTAAAGTAACTGAAACATATACTAGTTTTTTAAATTTATATTATGATATATAAATTGTGTAATTATTAGTAAAAATAAGAGTATACTAGACAACTTAATATAAAAAGTAGGGGCATTTAAGGAAAAAAAGTTCACAGAGAGAAAATTCTTGGCATCTCAAATTTCTCTCCTTTTAAAAAGAAAATGAATATTTAGGTTCTCAAGCAATCTAATGTAATAGGACATTAAAGATTTTCTGAAATTTGAGGTACCTTGACTTGCACAAAAATACTTTACCTCCTAAAAAATCTCAAATATTCCTGTAACAAATGCTCTTTTAAGTAGAATGACGTATTGAAGAATGAGATACTAAACAAGAATATAATAAATATTTTTAGAAATGTAAAAGTATAATAAAGATTTATCCAAACATTTATAAAGACAGATTGACCCATTTATTTTTATTTTATTCATAATTTTTCATCAATATATACTTATTTAGTAAATATATATTTTCACTTCATCTACTATATTGCCTCTGGGATCTTAGAAAAAAAAATGCTGTATTTTTGCAAAGATGAGAGTGGGTTAATTCTAGTTAAATATTTATTTTCCTTCAATTTTTCACACATATCTCTTTTCATTTATTAATTTTAATCTAATAGATGTTGTTCTTGCATTCTATAATATCTTTTATTAAATCTATAGTATTATTATTTGCGAATAGACCAATGCATTCATCTCTTCACACACACATATATATTAACAGATTTACATGTTCTTACGTATTCATATTTAATCTCATCTAAAAATAAAGGAAAGGAAAATAAATAAATAAAATAACAACTAGAAATTGGACTCTGTCAGGGACCAAAATGTATTCTTGTCTTTTTAAAATGCAGCATGAAATTAATGAGAAGGAAGGCACACAGCGTTCACTCACACGTACAATAATAACAAAGAAGGTAAGGAAAATTAAAGAAGTTAAATTATGATTCTGCAGGATTCTTCAGAAGTCAAGAACCAAAATCACCACCTCCATCTTGAAAGCCAGCACCATATCCAGCCGGGCCCTCAGACGCCAAGCCTCCTATCAACAACCCACCCAATACTCCTGCTACCAGTAAACCCCCCAGTGGTACAAGCTCATTCGTCCTCTCTACCTGCTGTGGTTGCACCGCTGGTGGATATCCATAATATCCTAGCCTTGCTGGAGGGTACCCACCTGCTGATGATGGCGGCGGCATTGGTTATGTTGCTTGACCATGATTACCGTATCCTCCTGCGTTTTCTGGTGGTTGATATATACCCTACCGAGGATACCTTGAAGGCGAATAAGGTGTTGTAGGGTACATTGGGTTCCTTATGGGTGGATAAGCAGTAACTGACAAATGCATAATGTTGTTGATCTTGTTACGGAACTGGAACAAGAAGTTGAGTTCACCCCTCTGTTTTCCAGACTAACCGCGTATCTGTCTATGGCTGTTTTTTGCTCGGTGGTAGGGTCGCTGGAGATAATAGCAACTACATAGACGTTCATTTTAGAAAGGTGTTCGACCTTCTTTAGGCCTACTCCGGAGATTATAGTTATCTCCAGGGGCTTATTCTTCATTCTCTCTGGCTTCAGGAGTAATTAGGTAATTAAGGAACTTTGGAAATGTTGGCAAGGTAAAGGGTCAATCATACCATGGTAGAATTTATAGCTAGGATGAATATTTTTAAGAAGAGCTTCTCAATATTCTTCTTTGTCATGTTGAGAGTGAAGGCAATGTTCTGAGCTATCCTATTTAAGTCACGCATTCATTTGCCCACTTTGGCTTGTCACATGATTTGCTATGGGTTGTAGGATGGGTTAGTCCATGTCAACCTTGTTAACTAATTTGACATTACCAATTCGGCACGTGGGATTGTCATAATTGATAGGCTTTAACATTAGCAATTCGGCACATGGGATTGTCATAATTGATAGGCTTTACTTGCATTGTTTCCACACATAACCCAGAAAAAATAGGACTTTGATAGCAAAGAAGCCAAAAAATTACCAAGTTCAGGAGAAAGAACCTATTCTCATCGAGCTGCTTAGGTAAATAAATTAGTGGTAGATAGGAGATACCACTTTAGTTCTAAGATCAACTTCACCAGAACAAATGAAGGAAAAAAAGGAAGGAAAGCCAGGCCTAAAAAGCCATTCTAACGGGGAAAAATAAAACAGAAGGAAAAAAAAAATGGCTCTACAAAATTTGGGGATGGGTATTTACCTCAAAAGATTTCTAAACATCAACAGCCAACTTGCACACGTGGCTTATACATCAATTAAAGGAACAAAATTGAGGATTAAAAATTGGGTTAACACCCAATGCATTCCTCTCCTAGTCAGTTGAACGGAAGAAAGCATGAATCCATACAAAACAGTAAACCAAACAGGTGACTAACATGAGGATAATACAAATATTCATCTCCTGCTCGATAAGCCTGAACAGATCAGACCGAAATTTGGGAGAAATATGTTGTTAGCATAACAAGTTCACCATTCCCAATAACTTCAACCTCCTTCCTGTCCACAACAGTTCACAATCAAAATCATTGCTTGAAAACGGGACATATATTTATAAAAAGAAAAAAGAAGAAAAGATTGAAAATGAGATTAACCATGCAATTAAACAGCACACGCACAAAAAGAATAAAAATCACATCGATTCAGTTGCTATTGCCATCTCCAACTAGAGCACTCGTGCAGTAGAATTTCCAACATATATTCTATATAAGAGAAAATGTAATTCATACTCAGTGCAGCTAAGGTTCAGGAAAAAAAAAAATGGAACTCGTACTCAATGCAGCTGGGGTTCAAGAAACAAATTAAAATTGGAGGAATTGTCTGTGCAAAGATATTTACATACCAGGGAGGGTAAATACCAATCAAGTTCCCTACGTCAAGGTCAACACTGCTGCAAACTCTTGGAGTAAAAATAACAGTCCTAGTTCTTCCGCTATCAACAAATGTTTTGGAGCTCTCTGGTGACTTGGAGCCCTGCAGAAATAGACATGCACCTTTTGTATTCATTTTACAGAGACATAAACATACATGCAAGTGAGCTCGATTAGAGAATTGATGCTAGAAGCACATATGATTCATGATTAGTGACGGTCAATATTTCAAAGTTGAATGCAGAGAGGAAGAAAAAGTCTTTAAGATTACAAGATGATTTGAACACCAAAATGTCAGACTCAGTAGGACCAGACTGAATAATCTACTTATGCAGATGAGAACTTTGCAATCAGCACCGAAACTTCCAAAAGTAAGAAATTATGTAATTAGTGTATGATACAACTGTATCTCCTAAATACATAGATATTATCAACAAGCAACTTATAGTTTAACATCATTGATCCTGTTCATTTGTTTTCACTACCATCCAGGTCTGAAGTAGTTGAAATACATGGTGGCCGTGGCAAGCTTTGAAATAATCCATATAAAACTTCATCTGAAATTTAACACAACCTTTATATTCTCGCCAAAAGTGCAGTGACAAACTATCAGCTTTGCATCAAAGTATCTCGACAAGATCTTTACAACAATGGAGCACGGTTCACCTGTATTACACAAGTACCAAAGATTAGTGGCGGAAACGTGCACAAATAACAAGCCTATTTATATCATGTCCATATAAAAGTAGTCTATGCAAGTCAGTTTAAAGAAATGCTTTTTGAACAGAAGGAATGCATTATCATAAGGCTTTTACTGTTTGGGCTGGCTCCTATCTGTAGCTTTTTCAGAAACTCAGTGTCTCTTTCCTTTTCACTCTGAACGACCCGCTGCAACTTCCCAGACAACCCAATGCTGTAGAATTTGGCAGCAAACAAGTATACTTGATTTAGAACTGCTTAATTAACTTCACTCGATCAATCGCCCAAAGCATTCCTAGTAACAGAAAGAAACTGGTTCATCTTTTACCCTGATGGTTTAGCTGCTGTGATAAAGACCCCTTCATTACTCACAGAGGAAGCAGCTAAAGCTTCATGAATGAGATCAGCCATAGTTTGCTTCTTTATCTCCAGGTCAGCAAAGTTTATGTTTTGATAATTAATCTGTGAAGTTCAAAAGTACAGATGCCACTGATAAGTTTAATGTGAATCACCATAAAGCAGTGACAACCAAGTAATACCTTGTCATCACTAGATGATCCAGCCATCGGCTCAGGTTGATCTTCATCATCAATGAATCTATCTCCCAATAAAGACATACTTCTCTTCATAACTAGCCGTCCCCTTTTTGCTTTTGTTCTGCTATACTGCAGCAACTACTTGATTAAACTCGGAGCGAGAACTGTATATGGAAGCAAATTTACAGCTCACAGAAGAATGCTAACCATTTTAGAATTTCCTCTTGGAAGAATATTCTTATCGCGAAGGTCATCTAAAAGTTCAGCCATTGAATGGTCAACAAAGCCATCGCCAAGAGCATCATCTTCAGCAGGCTCAATCTCTGACGGTTTCACATTTTCTCTAAAAAATCCTCATGAAGAGCGGGACTCGAACCTTCTAAAATTTTAAGCTCAATTGTTTCAGATCTTTCAGGCCCATCATCAACCATGGATGAGACAGCATCTTTAGAAACAAAAGGTTGGGAAAGTCCATCCTTGTGTGATTGAAAATGAAAAGCAAATTTTGGCTTGGCTTTGCCTCTTACACCTGCAGGCCATGAAGGTACTCATAGTTGAGGAACTAAGGCATTATCCTTGTACAAGGCTGCAAAAAGCAGAAGACTAGACAACAGCTTGACTGCCAGCAAATTAAGTAACATAGCTTCAGCTCATCAATTAGAAGTAAAACAACAAAGCAAACAGATCTAATTCATGCCTCAAGCATACGTGATGCAGCATAGTCCAGGTTTATAAGCAAATGCATACCCATCCTCCCTAGCAACTCAACATACACAAGCTGGGCATTTCCTACAGAGTACTGCTATGCTCATGAATATTGCTTAGAAACTTCCCTTACAAGCTAAACTGGCTAGTCGGGATGGCTAGCCACATCAGTGAGGGTCTTAAAAAAACAAAAACACAGCTAAAATTGATGAGTGAGTTAATTGAGTCAATTAAATGAAAAACTGTCTCTAGCCTTCAACTGTTCTCCTTGTTCCAACCATTCTCTCACCAATTTCTGCAGTGGAGTTTTCCTTCTTATTTCCATCCCCAAAAAATAACAGATAGAACACGGCAGAGCCACATGCCAAGTCACTTCTTATTCAAGTTTGGTATCAAGTGTTAGTATGTTTAGCATTTTCCTTTCCTAAATTGTTCTACAAAGGTTGCTGAGTGCAAGACAACCAGATCAACAAAGCTCATTTAGAGGTGTAATTGGCACTTGGATATAGGTCACAGGTCAAACCACACATATGCTTATTCTTCCTTGGCTTTTGCTTATTTCTTAGTTTGGTTCATTGAAAATCTACCTAGGTCTTTGATTTGTCTCCCAAGACAAACAAATATCGAAGGGCTGAAGGCATCTATAATTTGAACAAGAAGGCACTCCACCAAACTCAAGAGAGACGTAGATAAACACATTACTTTGAATGAGAGAATACCTTTGTGAGATTTGTTTGCTTTGGAGTATGCAGAATGGGAAGACAGTGCATTCTCATTCAAACTGATTAGTGTCTCAGCTTCCTTATTCACGATGGACCATGTGTATGCTTCAGCTTGCTTCTCGCTTCCAAATCCTCGACGACTATTATCTTTATCAAACTTCTTGTCACTAGAGATAATGGGATATTCTAAAAAAGCATAATTATCCTGTTCCAACAGATTCCACAAAATAATAATAATAGTAATAATAATAATTAGCACTATAAAAAGGAAGAAAGGAAAAAAAAGGCACAATGTACCTCATCATCACAGGCAACTTCATCTTTTGAGTTACGAGCAGATCCTTTGCTTGGGGAAAAAAAGAAACCACCCTTACTAGGAAAATCAGGCATCTCAGCCTCATCTTCAACAAAGAAACTTGTTTGCTTCAGATCACGGTAACACCATTGCCTTATTTTTCAACATATTCCAAAAAGGCTAGAAAACGAGAACTACAACTGAAATCTCATTACACATGCCTCATGCACTAAATTGCTAATTTTATTTACACAACTTTGTTCATTCGTACCTGCACTAGGAGAATAATCATGAAAAAACAAAACCATTCATGTTCATCAACAAGAGCAAGCGATAGCTGACTAGCATTTCTAATCTACCATATCGCCCAAGAAATTTACCAAAAAATACAACGTCAGCACATGCTCTTATTTATCATATGCAGAATTGAACCGATACCTCGAAGCATATCCAGTCGTGATTGAAGTTCCCATCCTTCCTATTTTTTTAAAAAAACAAAAAAATGAGAAAATACATTCATCTTAAGACCTACAATAATTGCAGAAATTAAAAAGCGAAGTAAGCAAGTAAGAAAGTAAGTGAAGTAACCTCTTTCTTTGTACTCCCAGTCAAAGAAACACGATTCTCCCCCAAATCGACGTCGAAATCTTCCTCATCTGTCAAATTAGGCCCAAATCAAATCAATCAACAAACCCTAAAATATAAAAGTAAAATTAATTTTGCAAATGTAGCTGACATTACCAGAAATGCTCTGGTCAGAATCCGATTTTTCCTTCAAAAAAAAAGAGGGAATAAAAGAACATATATAGAACAGATTATCGAAAAGAATAGTACTCCAAAAAAGCAGAAAATGGAATGGAAGGAGCGAAGAAATTCAGAAGTCTCTTACCGCAACCGGGAAACCATTTTGCCGCGACATTTTCACAGTCACTTCCAATTAATTCTTCTACTCCAGACGAGCGACAAGATGGCCTCTTCGTCTTGTCGAGTTCAGTTTTTGATGAATGGGCTATTGTAGCATGTACAATTTTTGGGCCTGGCCCAATGTCATTGTTTACCCTTTCACTTGGGTTAAACCAGATATGGGTAAAATCAGACCTAAATTTATCGGCTTTATTGGACCAGTCACCAGATATGAGGGCGGACGAGAGATTTTTTTTTTTTTTTTTGTGCGTAAATATATAAACACACGAAACTTTTTTTTTAATTTAATTTAAGAAGAATTTTTGTGATGTTGTAATTCCTGCACGAAATTTATTAATTTGTATGCTTTAATTTCTTAGCATGTGGTGTCAATGCATGTGGTTTTTAATAATAAGTAATTTTTTAAAAATATGTACATCTTATGGGCAAACAAAGTTATTTATCCAATTCAATTCAATAAAATCAATAACAAGAATGATGATGGTAGTTAAAAATAAAATCATCTATATATGTATTCTGTTTTTTTTATAAAAAAAATTCATGAAAAGTATTAATAAATCCTATCATTATTTGAGAGAAAAGAATACAATTTCCCGTACACTAATGGTGGTTATAAATATTTTAGATCATACATGCATTAAAAAAAAAGAAAGAAATAAAGAAATAAAGAAATCTACTCCACACCGAACATTTGTGTATTGGGTTACGTCTAAAAAAGAAACAAAAAAAAATTCTCAAAAAGCGCGCCTTTCTGTCTCCCACTGGAATTCAGTAAAACTTCCTTGGTACGCTGACGCAACATAAATTACCCCAACAGCCCCCCTCTAACCAATCATGATACTGTAGATTTGATTCAAAAGTCAAGAACTCAAGATCAAATCATATCAATCATCCAACCACTTGAATCAATCACATTTAAAAGTAGAGTCCGTAGATCATACACTAGTCCGTCTCACATCCCATCTTTGCAAAAGGAAAGCCATCCCGCGCAATTTTGATTTTCCAAAAATCTCAAAACCAAAAAAAAAAAAAAATCCCATTTTTCATAAAATAAGCAGAAGAGACTCAAATTCATAGAGAGAGGGAGAGAGAGAGTTGATGAAGAGGAAAACCCTAACAAAGAGAATCAATAGGAAAAATAGGAGGGTGAGCAGCAGCACCACCAAAATGAAGAAGGGCACATTAACAAGCCACTTTCAACAGGCTCAGCACCACCAAATCCAATCATCTTCTTCCACCTCAGCGGCATCGTCATCTCTCTTCCAGAACCTTCTGGACTCGGACTTAAACGATCCTCCGGTGCTGGCCGAGGATGTTGATGAAAAAGATTTCATCCTCAGTCAGGATTTTTTTTGGTAATTTTTGTTTTCTTTTTTGGACACTACATGAATATGAACTTAGTAACAATGTCTTTCCCTCGTAATGTTTTGTGTTTTTGATGATGGGTTTTGGTTTTAGTTAGGGATTTGTCCGAAATTGAACGAGTGATCGGATTATCAATTTGATTTATTTGAGTTTTAAATGAAATGCAATCCTTTTTTTATGTCAATTAATTTGTACGTGCAATCTGCAAAGATTTGAACTTCTAATCTAATTTTTTCTTTAATACGTCGTTGTAAATGCAGCACTCCAGATTATATCACACCAGATAATCAAAATTTACTCTACAGTTTTGATTGCAACAAGGTGATGCTTTCAACAGTATTATATTATTAATTGACACAAGCTTGCGAATTGAAATGAGTTTTTAGACGTTTTGATTGATTTGCAACAGGAAAACATTTCATGCCCCAAATCGCCGGAGAAATTGAACACTGTCAAAGTAAAAAAGCTTCGACAGGGTAAGATGAGTTCTTTTATACTATGCTGAACTCTTGATCGATTTTTCAATTCTGCTAATAGAATTGCGAGCTACATGATATTAGATGCTAATTATATCTATACTGCACTTGCATGGTATCCCTAGTTTATCCTCTCAGTCCTACATTGTCTGACCAGCAACAAATTGTGGATATCGGAAAAGATAACATCAGTTCAGAAGAAATGATGATTGAGAAAACAATAACTATTGAAACAAAGAAGCCTTCAAATTATGTATCACAATCTGCTGTTTCTTTACGCTGTCGCATTATGCCTCCTCCTTGCATCAAGAACCCATATTTAACAGGTGACTTGGAAGTGGGTATAGATCCATTTGGCAATCAAAGATCAAAATGTGCAGGTACACTCTTGTCAGTTATAGGTGAACATCATGATTGGGGGATGATTACAATTATAATTTATTTTTAATTTTTTCTTTTCCTATAAATTTTAGAAGGCAAAGTTTTGCTTCAGAGAAATTTTTGTTAATTAATGCTGCAATCTACAGGATTTTTCCCAGCATTTGCTGGTGGAGATGGCCTATCACGCTATCACACAGATTTTCATGAAATCCAGGTAGTCATTCAGATTCCAAAAGCTCTGAATTTATTCAGATCTTTATGTTTCATTTCTTGTACTTACTTATAGTACTTTACTTCCCTTTCTAGCAAATTGGAACTGGGAACTTCAGTTGTGTTTTCAAAGTTCTGAAAAGAATTGATGGTTGCTTGTATGCTGTGAAACATAGCACAAGGCAGTTGCATCAAGATGCAGAAAGGTAGTTTCTTCATGCTTTTTAGATACTAAAATCATTTGGTCAACCAACATGTTTGAGCTGTACTGCTTACATTTTACAGGAGGAAAGCATTAATGGAGGTTCAAGCTCTAGCAGCTTTAGGTTAGTGTAGTACTATTTTCTGAGCTTTTTGTGCTTCTGCTAGCTGCGGCATGAAAGAAATTTTTTCTAGTTGATTTTGTTGTTATACATCTGTAGGATATCATGAGAACATTGTTGGATACTACTCGTCTTGGTTTGAAAATGAGCAATTCTACATTCAGATGGAACTCTGTGATTGCAGCTTATCTATCAATAGATCATCCAAATCCTTAACAGAGGGAGAAGCACTGCAAGTCTTGCTTCAGGTGAATATTTTCTGTGGACCATATAAAACTGGAAAGCTTCATATGAACTGGATAATTCATCGTGGCACATATGCTTTTTCACATAGGAATTTTTATTAAAATGTTGGCTAATTTCTTATCGACATAATGGATGCTATTTCTGACACCAGAACTTTTACAGATTGCAAAGGCATTGCAGTTTATTCATGAGAGAGGAATAGCTCACCTAGATGTGAAACCTGACAATATTTATGTCAAGAATGGAGTTTATAAGCTCGGTGATTTTGGATGTGCGACTCTTCTTGACCAGAGTCTACCAGTTGAAGAGGGTGATGCACGTTATATGCCTCAAGAGATCCTGAATGAGAACTACAATTATCTTGACAAAGTTGACATCTTTTCCTTGGGAGCAGCTATTTATGAACTTATTAGGGGTTCAACTTTGCCACAATCAGGATCCCAGTTTTTGAACCTCAGGGAGGGCAAACTGCCTCTCCTTCCTGGTCATTCATTGCAACTTCAGAACTTACTAAAGGTATTACATGTTATTTCCTTGTCTGCTCTACTTGTGGTCCATAGGAATGGCAAATGGTTAAGGTATTTTTCCCCAGTCTTGTCCTTGAATGGATCAGGATTTATTTGGCCCATCATGGGGCTCTTGAAAGGAATTTTTTACAATTTATGGATATGAATTATAGTAATAAATTGGTAATTTATGTATAAACAAATTATAATTAAATTAGTTAAGTGTGTGACTTTGGAGTTGGGCGCACATAAACCTACCCCTGCCCTAAGAGTTGGGTCATTTTCAGGCAGTTTTGGCTGGGTCGGTATTTACCGAGTCGGGCCAAATTGCCAGCATGCTTGCTGACGTTTTTGGAAACAGGTCTAAGCTGCCTTCAAGGCAGCATGTTAAAAGAAACAAATGGTATTTAACGATCATGTTCCCTTTTACAATTTTGTTCTATTCCATAGGTCAGAATGGTTCGTTGACATGTACTTGCTGCTATATCTTATTTCATTGGTTAGAATTTTCCCTATGTAGTACAGTTTGCTTGAACGCCATATGGAATGAGAACAAAATGCATGTTAGTAGTCTTTTTGAATTTCTTAAGGTGGCTAACAAATTTTGTTGTCCATTTAGGTTACAGGTTCCATGCAATAACCTAATCTGCTTGAAGCAATTTGTATACTTCATTTGTTGGGTGAAAAGTATTTAGTTGTAGACGAATCTTGTTCTTTCACTATGTATCTAGGATAATATTGCAATGAGATATCGATAAACTTTCTCCATTTTAAAAAAAATCAATTGCATAGCTGATTTATCTGATGATTTGATAATTCTATCAGGTCATGGTTGATCCTAATCCCACCCGGCGGCCTTCTGCTAAGGAATTAGTCGAAAATCCAATGTTTGATAAGGTTCCAAGAAATTTAAAATCCCAAGCAAAAGCTTGACTGGATTTTGATAGGGACATGAGTTTTGTATGTGGCTGCATATGATCAGCTGCCCTATTAAGGAGGCCCAGTTGCAAGGTTATGAATGACCAATTTTGTGAAAAGCAGCCCTTTAGTACAGGCACCAAATTTTCCTCCACACCAGGATGCATTATGTAGTATGTATGATACTCATCAAATGCTGCATTATGATCTGAAGATCTGCAATTGTAATGAAAATGCCTGTGCAATTTATCTTAGAGTGCATTTTTTGAAACTTGGGTAGTGGAATGCCAACCCTAACCAGTACTAGGATACTGGTGATAATCTGGTATTGAGACAGATTTGGTTTATAATCGTGCAGAATGGTGCCAAAGGATTCATACAACCGATCCCATCTAGTTTGGGATGAGTCAACTAGCAAACAATAACCTTGCAATAAGCTGGACCTTTTGGTACTCAGACTCTAGGTTGCTTTAAATGAAATTCTAGACACGCAAATTAGCTTGTAATTTGTAAAACAAAAGTGATAATTGAGTCTGAGCTGGTCTCTGCCATGCTTTGTGGAAAAAGAAAAAGAAAAAGAAAACTGTTTTAGTTGATCTTAAGTTTCCAGGGTGCATTGGTCCTTGTAATTTAAAGGAATTGCGGGTCAGTTATAGAGCTGCACAGGATTCAATCTTGACGTTCCCTTTGTGACATTTTCTGTTTGTATCATCATTAATCTGAATTGTCCCAATTTGCAATGAGCTACTTATTTCTAAGTTGATTACTAGCTTCTGCTTGTTATTTCCTCCATTGAATTCTCTCACATACAATGTAGTGGCTAATCTTAACAGCTGCTCTTGAGTGTTTTGGTTTAGTCTTTCCTTACAAATTTAAACATTTTCTTCGCCCATGTGCACACGTCATCACTGATCTGGCCAAGGACTTTAGATGCTAAAAGCAACTGCCATCTGCCAAGAGCTGTTTTAGATGCTTTCAGAAGACACGATTGACCTGGTTGCATCCTGATGATTATCTCCTATACATCTTTCTTTCATATCATCAAAATGCCCCCTTGTCTTTGTGGGTTGTTCTTTTCTGGTTGGTTATTTTCTTTGTGGTTAAGAGTCGACAGTCTACTGTGCTTGATTGCTTGAACTTGTTGCTGTTTAGTTCACTAAAAGTTTATGCAGCTTGGTTTTATTGAATGAAGTTATCCATGTAAGACAAACTATAATGTTGTGTTGGCCCAATCCTGTGTAGTTTGCTGTAAATCTACGTGTGTTTTTCATCCTTACATGGGTGGAAGTCTGGAAATAAACCCTCTTAAAGCCGATTATTTGGAAAAGAGACAGAGACCTATAGCTATCCTCGTAAATCTAAAATCAGCTTTGTTTTTTCTACGCATGCATTCCCCGGATCCTTCCTTCCTTGTAGCATATGAGTTGCAAGTTTCGAATGTCAAACAAAATACACGCATGTTTATTTTTTCCACCGAGAATATTCCCTCATCTATCATGTATATGCCCCCCCCCCCCCCCCTTTTTTTTTTCCAATGCTGAAGACAGCACGGCTTCAACTTTGGGGGGTTTCTACAATTAGAATATAGGAGTTATATTCTATTCGGACTCCCAAAAGATTAGTATCTTGATTAAGTAAAAATGACATCTATAAAATAAAAATATAATTACAAACATCTAGAATGCATCGGAAGATGATGGCCAGGAGCAATCAGAACAAGACATAATATTATGCCAGGTTAATCCAAATACAAGTAACGCCGAATGCCTTCAATTCCATTACTTATTGTGGAATTGGACTACATATTCAAAGTCTAACGGAGTCATACGTAGTAGTAACAGTTAACCATTTGAGTTTGTTTCTATATTATTCCAACTATACTTCCATGTTTCTTCTTGAACTCTGGAGGTTTCTACAGGCGGCTTCTCTGGTGGACTCAACTTGCCACATGGTTTGAACGTGTTTATATTTTATGGTGCCCGGACCCATTTGGTGACGAGTTCGTAAGCTATTTTTGTAGCTTGCTTTATATATTAATTCATTCTAAAAATGAAAACGGTAAGAATTGAACTCTTTATTATATGGTCTAAAAAATATATATTATAATATCATATTAAAGATTCCTTTATAAAAACTTAAACTATTTTTCTGAAAAAAGAAAAAAACTAACTGTTGAATAAGATATTAAATATAATTTTATATTAGCCATCTAGTAATAACCAGGCAAGGTAGGAGGATGCAAATCATCAGCTACTAACAGTAAGCAATTTAAAACTGAATGATGAGAAATCAACGACATAGTTTTTAAATATTCTCGTAGGGACCATTTACGTGAAGAAAAAGAGCAACAGCAGTGTCAAGACGTCGTTTCTACCATACTAGTACAACATGCTACCTACTACGCTCAGATTTCACAATCAATAATATAAAACGAGAAACACGAGATATATTTAAATGGGCTATGAAATAAAAATTTTAAATTAGAAATGCTGCAAGGGAGTCGCGTATGATCCGTGAAAAGTAAATCTTAGTAATAAAATTTGGATTAAACCAATGCATTAATTAACTCTACAAGATTTCTAAACAATTTACCAAAACTATGGAACTGCTCAATGCTATGTTTTGATGGTAAGATTGAAGGCCACTCAATACATTCAATGTTGACTCAAAATATTTTTTTTCTAACGTCTTTCCAACGAAAATAAAAATTTCAATCAAAGACCTTGTAGCTTATGTTTCAATCAAAGACTTGTAGCTTATTGGATATTGATTTCTTGTAATAAAAAGTTATGGATTAAAATTCTAACATATTGATTTTGTTAGGAGTTTTGAATATATGAATTAAAAAAAAACATAAAGACTAATTTATTAAAAAAAAAACAAATTTCAGACTTCATTAATAAAATTTTGCGTTAAAACTATTAGAATTAGAGAAAATATTCTTGTTTCATTGTTATATTTCATTTATTTATTTTTTACTTAAATATCTCAATTCTATATTAAAAATAATAAAAATAAGATTAATTATATTTAAAATAAAAACGATATAATTTAATCCTCTTGATAAATATAATTTTAAATTCGAATAATGGATACTAATAAAAAATTTGTTTAAAGGACACCTCTCCGATTACAATAATTTATTGGTTGTTTTTTTAAAAATATTTTAACTTGGGGCTACGAGTTGCCGGTTGTTACAATTACAAATAGACACCCATTCGTTAATTTATGTCCTTAATTAGGATATTCTTTGTAAAGATGATTGATTAATGATTCGATATTTTTTATTTAATAATAGTAATTGGCTTTATTTTTGGGCTTCGTCGCTACATGTCAAAACAAGTATAATAACAACTAACAGCCCCACCCGGAGAATTACAACTGACTGAGCCATTATTAGTTCAACGCGCGTTAGTTGTAGTCAATTTAAAATTTTCGAAAATTTTCTTAACCTCATTCTAGCATTTTGCTTACTGTAAAAAGAAATAAAATTGCCATTAATAGTCTTCCGGTTCAATAATAGTGAGTTTTTTGCATTAATTAGAGGATATGGATTTAAATTTTCCATTTTTAAATATTTAAGTTTACAAAATATCTTATTACAAAAGTAAGCAATATAGCTTCTTATGTATGTAATGGAGATCAATTTAATTCATCATCGTGATAATATAACTCTTTATGTCTCAACACTTGACTGACTATTGATTATGTGTTGAAAAAAGAAACATATTAACTTGGAATCTTAAATCAAAATTAATAGTTGAAATAAAAAAAGTATTTATTCAAATCTTGAAAAAGATATAAATAGATAAGGAGGATAAGAGGGTTAGTATATTGTTTAAAATTTGTTTTTTTCTTAATTGTTTAGATTCAAATTTTTAAAAAATATTCCAAGATGAGACAGAAGTCATAAAAAAATAGTTGAAAACTATTCTTATTATTAAATTAAAAAACTAAACACTTTATGCGGACCTATTATATTCATACCAATCAATCATAAGAATTTTTTTTTCCGGAAAATTTTAAAAAATCAATCATAGCAGTATTTCGAGTTCGCTCAGCTAACCCCACAAATTTAATATTGCAAACCTATATATATATATATATATATATATATATATATATATATATATATCAGGCACTCGTGACTTAGTACTTGATCTTGATTTTTGTGTCTTCTTTCTTTTTCAATTTTTTGGGTAAAGCTCCGCCCTTTTCCTTTGATTCATTGAACCCGTGCACTGGTAAACATAGTCGGCAGAAAATCATTTGATGGCATCTTATTGTTGGTTCTTGGTTTGCCTCAAAGTCAACGCCGTTGCGGAGGGGAGCTGTCTGGTGCTGCTCCAAGTTGTACACATGCCACACGTGACGTAGACTAAAACGCACGTGAGCAACTATACATTTTTGACAATTTTTAAGCCAGAAATTATTGCAACACAACCTACATTAATTATTCCAAGATTGCAATCGGAAACTACTTTTTCTTGGTTTTTTTTTTTTTCATTTCAAAGATTGGTGGATCTTCAATTATGCAGTAAAAATAACTATTTTGCATTACATAATAATTAAATAAAGTGAAATTATTTGTATTGGATTATTTTGATAAAAAATAATATTAATTTTGATCAAAATTATTAATAATTATTATTATGTCATTTTAAATACAAAACCGTTTTACAGTGGTAAAAAATGATAAATAGTTTATTATTTTTCATAATAATAAAAAATGATTTCACAATAGAATTAGCTACTTTTCATTACCTACATATAAACTTTTTCCTTGTCATTTAGATATAACAACATCTTTGTATGCTCTTACTTACTAGAGAAAAAAAAAAGCAACATTGCTTATTTTGCTAAGAGAAGAAAAATAATTCTTCATTTTTATCTTTTTTATTCTCTTACTTAAAATTTCAAATAATCTTTAGTAATTCTATATTTGAGTAAGAGTGGTACTATTATATTTTGAGTTTCATGACTTAGAAGTTGAACAAAATTATTAAGACATGACA